GGAGGGCAGAATGGACTGGAGCTATGTGAGGAGAATCTAGGGTTGTGGGCTCTGGAGACAGAGCTCAGAGGTCACCCCTCTGGATTCCTGTGCTGAGTCATTCCCCCATACTGCAGAGGCAGATATTTACCTTCCAAGCAGCTTTTGCCTGAGGGGGGAGCAATTGCCCCACCCTGCTGGAAAAAATCTTGCCCAACACTTTGGAGTTTCTACAGCCTGAGGCTCATTAAGGAACTGATAACAATCAGCCAACCCACCCTGTGGAGTTTCTACAGCCTGAGGCTCATTAAGAGACTGAGTAACAGCATCTGGGTGCTTTGAGTCTTTGCCTGATCTGCTTCTGGATGTGGGCCTTGGAAAAGCAGACTTTGGTGTGCATCTTAGTCCTGTCCAAATGCACCCAGCCCCAACAGAGGGGACCTCAAGCCATGGGTTATTTATAGCTCTAAACAGGGTACTCAAGGCCAATCACAAACAGTGTCTGACATTCACCTGCACCAGAGACTGTCCAAAAAGACTGACAGTTGTAGCAGATCTACTTAATACATAGAAACAAACCCAAATAGGCAGCCAAAATGGGGAGACAAAAAAACAAGCCCCAAGTGAAAGAAAGAGAGAACCTCCAGAAAAAGAACTAAGAGAAATGGAGATAAGCAACCTATCACATAACGAGTTCAGAATATTGATCGAAAGGATGCTTAATGGCATGAAAACAGATATGGAAACTATGAAGGAAATGAAGAATGACATAGCAGAAATAAAGAACACATTGGAAGAAATAAACAGCAGATTAGAGGAAGCTGAGGATTGGATCAGTGAATTAGAAGACAGTAGAAAAAATCGCTCAATCAGAGATCTAAAATGAAAAACAATTAAAAAACATGAGGACAGTCTAAGAGAGCTGTGGGACAATGTAAAACATAACAATATTCTCATTATAGGAGTGCCAAAGGAGGTCAAAAGTAAGCAAGGTTAGAGAACCTGTTTGAAGAAATAATGGCAGAAAACTTCTCTAACCTGGTGAAGGAAAAAGTCACACAAGTTCAGGAGGCACAGAGAGTGCCAAGCAAGAAGAATTCAAAGAGACCCATGGCCAGACATATCATAATTAAAATGCCAAAAATTCAAGAAAAAGAGAGAATATTAAAGGCAGCAAGAGAAAAGCTAGCTGTTACCTACAAAGGAGCCCCCGTAAGGCTGTCATCTGACTTCTCATCAGAAACTCTATAGGCCAGAAGGGAATGGCATGAAGTATTCAAGGTAATGCAAAACAAGGAT